ATGATTATTGGCATTGAAGTAACAAACGTTGGATGGACCCAGTGAACTAACAAAATATAGATTTCCAGATTTGCAGAAAAATTGTGGAAAGACGAATAATGATAATAAAGTGTAGGTGACTCAAAAGTGAAAGTGAAGTTATTTTTTTAATTTTTTTCAAGTGGCACAAATGATTTTAGCAATACCATACCATAGAGATAAAAAATTATTAATAGATTGCCAGCGAATCATTGACCTATCAAAAGATACATATGTCGAATACAATAAAAAATATATAAATTAAACCTGATATTGTGAACCGTATTCGGGGCCGAAGCCCCCGCGAGCCCCATCGGGGGCGCAGCCCCCGTAAGCCCTATCCTGGGCCGCAATCTGATGTGACCTAAACATTATTTTACACGGTCTAAAAGACACTTTGCTAAATAAAAATAAAACTCTTAATCAAATCCAACAGAATTTGACCAGATGCGAAATGTATTTTCTTATTTTTTTTTTCAAGTGGCGCGAGTGATTTTAGCAAAATGTGTTTTTTCTCTGAAACAGACAGACGATGAGAATTTGAAAGTTATAGAATGTAGGTGAATCAAAGGTGAAAAAGTGAGTGTATTTTTTTAATTTTCTCAAGTGACGCCAATGAAACGCGCGGTGCTGAGGCGAGCGGCGGCTACGCCGCCGCCGAGCGTCATCTTTCTCTGGAACATCCGTATGCTTCAATCGGGGACGCAGCCCCCGCAACCTCAATCGGGGGCATAGCCCCCGTAAGCCCCAATCCACCACATCAGCTAGTTATACCTTACTAAAACGTGGTAGCTTGATTGCTCTCACACCCGTGTAAAACGTTAATTTAACCATCTTTGTCATGCGATAGCAATTGTTTTTTCCTGGAAATAGTTGGAAGCACTAAAAGTGAAAATAAAAAACAAAAATTCAATCATAATTCTAAAAGTGGTAAAGTTTCATAGAGAAAAAAGGTCTAAAAGTGACTAAATTAACGTTTTAAAAAAATCACAAAGAGTGCGTTGGATTTCAATCATTCAATCTGACACTTCTGACAGTTTTTGACATTTCGCGACAATGTCGCTCACACTCTTCAAAAAATCAAACGAAATTTTTTTAGAGTCACATTAAGCTTTAATCTGCATTTTTTTAACCCACTAAGAAAAAAATTGACGAAAGAGTCCTTTATCTAACATTAAATTCATCATTTTTGCGTTTTTTCAAAGCAAATTCGAATTATATTAAAACAGTTTTTTATGGATAATCAGTGAGGTTTTTGCAAAATCTTGAATTTGATTGGTATGTGTCCATTTGTTAATTTAGATTACAAGAACCAATAATAATCATTTCCCATTCACGTAATTACCACTAAGGTGAGAACAAACCGGTTTTTATTTCTTATTGGCCAAAATCCGACAAAAACCTAGCAACGATAAGTAACTCCACCCATTAAAAAAATCCTGAATAATTATTGATTTTTGAGTCGAATTTTTATAACAAATCAGCGTTTAGTGTGAGTTACCTTACTTTAATTGGATCTAATTTTGCACAATGGGTGGAGCTAACTCCAGAGCCAATATGAATCATGCACTTTTAATTATTAGACCAATAAAAAGTAAAAAATTATTTAATAGGTTAAAGTTGAGTGTCATTGTTCGCTCGTTAGCCAAACAATTACGTCTTTTAAAATCAACTAATCAGAACAAATCTTAGATTTTTCGACAAGAAAAATAAAAATAATTATAATTTTGTTTTAAAAATCGGCTTCTTCGATTTTATAGTTAAGAAAAAAAAAATTATTTGAAGAATAAACGTTAATTAATTTTCTTTACTGTCAAATGTCCAAACTGTCAAATTTTGACATTTTTGGAAGATTTACATAACACTGTGAATTAAGTTTATTGTGTACTAAAATTTGTATTTTGCTTAATTTTTGATTATTCAAAAATACCGATTCGAGTCGTTTTTAGCGGTTTTAGCCTTTATTTGGTACATCTTTCAAAAAAAAAATATAAATCTTCAAAAAAAAATTCAAATGTTCAAAGTGCACATAATTCGACTGAATGGTTCTTTATGTACAATCAGTGCAAAATTTAGAACAATTTGAACCACATCAGGGCCGTAATGAAGAATTTTCTGATTCAAAATAATCCAAAAACTCTTAAAGCAAGCAAATTGATAGATACTAATCTGGTCCATTGCCTAAAATTAATTAAGCGTGTCTCAAAAATAAGTTATAATACAAATTTTTATATCTATTGTTTTTTTTTTACAATTATTTAGTAAAGGGACAAAAATTTAGCCAATAAAAGCCGCAAATAACATTGAACAGAGTTATAATTTAGTATACAGTTTCCTTGTTTCCTCTTTTAATAGCCTATAGCAAAAAAACTTGGAAAATTATTTTTCCAACAGAAATAAAACTTTAAAGCCTCATAACTTGGAAATTTTTATAGATAAAATTTATTTAACATTTTTTCCATGTTTCTGGTATTTTACTTTATATGGCATTTTTCTCTGGGGCGCGAGTTCTGGCGCACTCTGTATATTGAAACTGTGAGAGAATTATTATTTATTATTATGTTTTGACTATTTTTTAATATTGTTTTCTACTGTCTTAACTATTGTCAATTACAGTTTTAAAGTAAACCATATAGGTATGTTGAAATTTTAAAATTCTTGACAATTTCATCTAGGATGAAACCCATAGTTTGACATTTTGTGTCTCAAACCTTGACCTTTATTTCTTACATTCTTGACTTTTGATCATTTACTGTCGTACTTTGTAAAAAAATTTCATCCAAAGACATTGAACGTCATAAACAATATGATTAGTACCTAAATGAACAATAATAAATGATGTTTTAATGTATGTATAGGTAATAGGTATGGAGAAAAAACATTGTAAAATGTATTTATTATTTAAAATGAAAGTAAGAGTTTATAGTTTAATAACAAGATACGTCGTGTATTATAAAAGTAAGTGGTCACTCTAGCACACTTATTTGTTACGGTGCCTCCGAAAGGTGAACTAGTCTCTAGTGTGCAGTGTCCTAGTGTTAAATTCGCGATGGTGAGTACCCGGTGTCCTCCCAAAAGCGACTTAGGTCAAAATTCAAGGTTGAACAACTACCAGACCGAATCGCCGAAATGTTCAAGGATAAAACAATATTCATCACAGGCGGTTCTGGATTTTTGGGAAAAGTCCTCGTCGAAAAACTCCTTCGGAGATGCTCCGATGTCAAAACAATCTATCTCTTAGTTAGAAACAAGAAAGGAAAATCACCCAACGAACGTATGAATGATATTTTCGCAAATATGCTTTTTGATACATTGAAAAAACAAAATCCTCAATCGTTGAAAAAGTGTAAAGCGATTGCTGGGGACATTACACAAGTCAATCTCGAGATTTCCCCAGAAGATCGGCAAGTGTTACGGGAGGAAATCGAATTTATTTTCCATTCAGCGGCTTCGACAAGGTTTGACGAAACGGTCCGAGTGGCCACTCGGATGAACACAAGGGGCACTAAATATGTTCTTGATTTGGCTCATGAGTGCAAAAAACTAAAGGTAAATCGGCGTCACCTTGTCAAATTTTTCACACTTTTTCTTTAAAATTGTCGAATTTTGATTATTTTCCCTTCGAAATATGCCATAGGTTTTTATTTATGTATCGACGGCGTATGCATATCCTTACGAAAATGTGTTACATGAAAAGGCATACCAGCCCCCTGCTGACCCCGAGACAATTCTCAAGTCGATTAATTTCGAATTAGAGAACGACTCGGAGCAAAATTTACACTTGGGGTTTGACACAAGAAAAAGTGTTGTTTGAAAATCTGGCTTAGACTTTTAGGTGATTGCCCCAACACTTATACTTTTACTAAAGCTCTAGCTGAGAATCTTGTTGTCAAAGAAATGGATAAATTGCCGGCGATTGTCGTCCGGCCTTCTATCGGTAAGTTTCAAATGTATTGACAATTTCACAAGTTCGTTTAGTTTGTCCTATTTGGAGAGAACCTTTTCCTGGTTGGTGTAACACCCTTCAAGGCCCAATGGGACTATTTGTGGGAGCTGGTAAAGGCATAATTCGATCCATGTACATACGGAAGAACTCTCGGGCCGATTTTATACCAGCCGATGTTGTCATAAATGGAATGTTGGTTGCAGCTTACGTGCATTCGAATTTTGACAAAACCCAACGAATTTACAATTTTACGGCATCGTCCAAACACAGTAAAACCTGGGAGGAGATCATCGAATTGGGAAAATACGTAGTGACCAAAAAAGTACCCTTCAATGGTATTGTGTGGTACCCGGGTGGTTCTCTCAAGGAATCCAAATTCGTTCACAACTTGTGCTTCTTCTTTTTTCAAATTATTCCAGCGTTGCTAATTGACATACTTTTGACAATTTTGGGATACAAGCCGGTGTAAGTGGGTAAAATTGCTGTTTAGAAATTGAAATTTTTTGAATACCTCTATTATAAGGTTGTACCAGATACAAAAACGTATACACAAGGGTTCAGAAATGTTGGAATATTTCACAACTAAAGAATGGGAATTCACCAATGACAAATCAGCCGGAATGAATAAATATCTCAACGATAAAGAAAAAGAAATTTATAAAATCAACGGTGACGGACTTGATATTGACGAGTATTTCACCAATTGTATTTTAGGCTTGAGAAGAAATAATTTGAAAGAGACTGATGATATGTTACCGGCGGCTAAACGTCAACTGAAAATGTACTATTGTTAAAAAGAAATTATTAAATTTTTTAATCAAAATTGTGTTGCAGTATGAGAGTTTTGGACGTAATTTGTAAAACTCTACTTGTGTTGGCAGTACTGTATTATTTGAATAAGTGGATTTTAGCACCGGTGTTTCGCACACACAGTAAATAAGCCATATAAAATAGTCAAATATAACGAGTGTTTGTTACTTTTAGCGTCTTAGTTGGCGGGGATTATGAATGGAATACAATTTTTAATACGTCCAACGAGATGTCATATGTCACATTAATAATAATAACTTTTAATTCAACGCTGAATTAAAAAAAAAACACTTATTACAATTTGGCGTCAAAGCTATCCATGAAGTTCGATTGTAAACGAACCATCGTATTGAAAGTTATTAATCTGACATGTGACACCGCCAACTATGATTCCAAATTTAAATAAACACCCGTTATATGGATATATTATGTATTTCTGGTTTTAATAAAAATGGTTGTTGTTTTAATGTGTTTGCTTTAACCAAATTACTTTGATAATTTGACTATTTTCGAAATTTATTCTTCCTACTTATGTTGAAAATATAGAGGATATTTCAGAACTCGCGGTTCAGAGAAAAATGCCATGTACCAGAAATATGAAAAAAATGTTTCTATCTATAAAAATTTCGAAGTTATGGGAGTATAAATTTCTTTTATTGGTAATATTTTTGTACCTTTATTAAATAATTTAGAATATTTTAAACATTTTTTCCATGTTCCTGGTATCTTATCTTATTTGAAATTTTTCTTTGGGGCGTGAGTTTTGGCGCACCTGTATACCTAATTCCGATCAATTGTTTATTCTAACCTCAAACATTACACAAAAAAAAAACAAAAAAATACTTACCGTTAATGACATTTCAGGTATAAAAAGCGTTATAAAAACACACAGCAATGGATCTCTTTCATTTGTTTCCTACCTATATTTTTACCTACAAAAAGAGTGACCAACTTTCATGTTCTAGCATGCGAATGTTGGTATGAATCATCGCACACTTGATTTGTTTAGAAGTAATTTAATTAAAAAATTTGTACAGAATAAATTAGTAGTCGTAATCGTCATCTCTGTCCAAGAGTCCATAGTCACCGCCCTCATAATCGTAATCGTCGACCCCCGGAGGCACGAAAGCCCCATTCAACGCCTCCGCGATTTGTTCGCCAAAACCCAGTCTCGTGGCCACCCCATATACCAGTCTCATAATCGCAAGTCTGGAATAGTTTAATCAAACATCATGTAGATACCAAAAATAATGTGATTTTACCTGAGAAAATTAATCGCATTGGTTTCTTTCTGACGCAAAATCATACCTTTGGAGTTTTTCTTGCGGTTTTTCGCGTCGGCAACGCACAAAATTATCACAATAAGTAGAAAAATAATTTTGAAAAAATTCATTTTAATTGCTGGACGCGTCGAAACGAAATGATTGATTTGATTGTTAATAGAACCATGTCAATAATTATTAAAATACAGATCGTGTAAGTGTGTTTTACACTTTTGGTGTATGAAAGTCGATCGGATTTTGTGTACAGTTAAGTGCAAGTGGGTCGAAAAACGGAACTCGTTTGAATTTGGCGGGTGAGGTTTAGTGACTTTACGATTACCAACCAAAATTATTTTTTTTAGCAATTTACGAAAATAAGATGAAATTCCCTTTGTTTATTGTGATTTGGAGTATTGGTAAATAAAAAAACTAATTAAAAAAATTGTTTATTTCACTTAAATGAACTACATTTTGCCAAGCCTTAACTAATTTTATTGCTCAAATGGCCATTACTTTGACTATTTTGGTTGATATTTTGTTCATTGGTTCCGTTGACATTAGTGGGAGTTAATAAGCGACTTCTCCGCCTTGTATAATGTTGCCACAGTAAAAGTTGTTGATCGTCGATAAACTTCGAACACTGAGCATTCACCAATTCCCTCCTAAAGTGTTCATATTGCAACAAATCCAAAAAATATAAACACATTGGATATTTTAAATATTTGGCATATTCGGGCTCCTTCCAATAAAGCAAATACTTCAAATAATTAACAAAAGTACCATCCTTAAAATAACCACGTTGAGCCAGGACTAAAATCCGAAATTGTGTTGTTGTTGTTTTTCCACCAAACAATTGAGGTTAAATTACAGTTAAGATAATTGGGGTTTCCGAGACACTGGACAAATTCTAACTCGATCTGGAAGCGAAGTCTTTGTTGCTCATCGGTTTCGGGAGCCCCTGACATGTAATTCCAGCCTAAAACTGGTCAAATAAATAGATTTATTAATCAAAAGTCGTTTACCTTTGCCGGCCATATTTATTTATCGATTTATCGATAAAATGGCGCGTGATTCAAACTAAAAAGTTAGGCAACTAATATTACACTCTTATTTAATGAACAATACTTGTTCAAGTCGTAAACGAGGAGACACTTAAAACGTTACAAGTAACAACGATGGAAAAACGACCATTAAAAACTTAGCAAATTTTCTTGTATTAAAAAATATTAGTATCTTGCGCAATAATGTTTGATTCCGTAGTAAGAAAGAAAGAAAGAATGTATATACTTACAGAATGTCCCACAAATAAGTTACAAAACAAACTAATGGTTTTCAATGAAACATTATACACTGTGTCGATTTTAAAACTTGCAATCGGCAATTTACTAAAAGTTTTAAAAACGCTTGAAACATAGTTTTCTAGATGTAAACTTACGCGCTGAACACGATGCAACTAGTTAGAATACTCTACGATGCATAGTTTTTGAGATATTGAGTAATAAAGTTAAGAATAAGGTTAATATCCGATTTTGACCAAAAAATCAACATTTTTTTATTCTTGAACGCCGATTACGGTGAAACTAAAGGAGATATAATTGGGAAATTCGTAATTAGCGCGTCAAAATCTATCGGATAAGATAGGTTTAAATCGAATCTGAGACATGTTCAAAAACACTAGATTTTAGGGGTGTTAACAAATTTTTAGTTTTTTTTTTGTTTTGTAAATTGCGGCAAAACTGAGTATCAATGACATAATATTTTGACCTATACCTATGTAAAATGTTCCGGGGAATCGATTGGCGTCAATTAAACTGCAAAATTCGTAGTAGTTTTGAAGTTATAGTCGGATTTAAATT